AGCAAGTGTAATGCCTTAAAACCTAGGGGTACTCACGTTCGAAGACTATAACCTACCTATGACACAGAAACCAGTAGTACCATTGAGACCAATTTTTGATATGCAAACTCTCCCTATCATGCGTTACGGTAGTGCCTGGTCACCATTCTCCAAATTTTTAACAAACAGCTAGTAAAACATCGTATGAACGACTGATTTCAATTTAAAGAGAGAATTAAGGCTGCTAAAATCATGAATAAGACTATGATGTCACTGGATGTAACATCTCTACTCACTAATTTTCCACTTCTTGAGATAGTTAACTACATAGGTGAACAGCTGGAATCCCGATAGATGTCTTCAAAGAACTACTACTCAAATGTACGATGAATTTTAACTTTAAGTTTAAAGGTGAACTATGTAAACAAGTGGATGGAGTCCAAATTGGATCACCACTGAGTCCTATATTAGCCGACTTTTTTCTATCGAAACTAGAGAATGGTTTACCTGAACGATCTACCGGAGAAATTTCATTTTACCGTCAATATATGGAAGATACATTCATCTTGTGCGAAACCAACATGAACAGGTCAAAGATACTCAGCAAATCCAACACAGTACACCCAGTGATGAAGTTTACATGTGAGGGAGAGTCACAAGACAAGTTAGCTTTTCTCACTTTTCTTCTCTCAAGACGAAAACATAGGTCGATAAAGAGGAGTTTGTTTAGAAAAAGTAAATATGCTTCGTATCACTATCAAATAAATTTAGTAAGAACCTTAAGTTACAGAATAAAGGTTATGCGTTCAGAAGATACAGTTGAGGAGGAACTGAGGAGTTTGCGCAACACGCTAACCAAAAATGGCTATCCCGATAAATTCATAAATAAATATATGATTACAAAAATGATAAGAAGGGATGTTCTACCGGCTAGTAGAAAACCACTATTTATTCGGATACAATTTAGAGGTGATGTGTTCAGCGAGATATTAATTCATAAACTTCGATGATCAATTCAGAGAACTTTTAGTGCCGGTAAATTAAAAATTTCGTTTTCCATATATTCAGTGATGACACTGAGACTGTTATATGAATTGCATAGACTGGCCACTTCCTGTTGCCTTCATCAGTTTGACTGCTCCTGTGGAACCAGTTGCGTCGGCCGTTGTTCTAGAAATTTAATTTTCCG